AGGAAGGAAGGAAGGAAGGAAGGAAGGAAGGAAGGAAGGAAGGAAGGAAGGACCTAAGCTATTATATTTTTTAAATTCAGGGAATATTTACATGTTAAGGGGGAAAAGGACAGACAACAGGCATGCACCTTCTAATTTCTGATCAGTTACTAATTAGCTTAAGAAATCTTTTCCCCAGAGAAAGAAAAAAACACTGAAAGTCTAAAAACAAGTTAGAGAGTCTTTAAGTCTGTATTGTTAGTGGCACAAGGATTTACAAGTTGCTTTGATTTTATTCATTATAAAAACCTCCCTGTCTAGTTGCCAACTTTATTTCTTTTTGCACATTAAATAAAACTTAAAATTCTGCCTACTACAATAAAAAAAATAAAGCTGTTATATTCTGTGACATTTCCATAAATAAAGAATAGTTCAATATGAATTTGTAAAAAGACAGGCTTCATATACCTGCTTTATGTCTCACCCAGCTGTTGTTTTAATAGCTTTGTTGTCTCTTTCTTCTCATAAAGAGACCAGTCACAGAGATCTTAACAAATTCAATCCAATAGCATCCTTAGTGCTTGAAGTAAACAAGTTCTCAGTATAACTGAGAACACTTCAGTGTCCTGTAGAATGATCCAATCACATCAAAGTGTGCCTTGGGACTACACTGCCAGGAAGACCTAGATAAGCGCTGCGCCGTCTCTACCGTATATGGTTTGGAAAGCTCTCACAGGCTTTTATGATATGTGAACAAGTACATTGCAGGAACTTAAGACTGGCATTTTTATCTCTGAACTTGAAGGCATTTTTAAAATGAGAAAGTAAATGTCTACAGCTAAACACATAAAAAATGTCTACAGCTACACCATAAAAACCTAGCTTTCTGCAGGTGGCAAAACAAGCGTGTGTTTTGTATTTGTTCACTCCCATGAAGAAAAATAAATCTGAAAGTTTGTTGTGCTTTGCAGTTGCCTTTGTACAAATCACAAACTTAAAACATTACACTGAAAAAACACATCTGGTACTGAAACATGGTGATGAACTACAGCTGATCCAAAGGCCTGGTCCTGCTTGGTATCCCCAACATCCATTTTCATTACTATCTACTGCAAACTCTAGAAAATGGAATTGTTTTGGATGATGTCATTCCTTTCTGTGCCACAGCTACATCATTTGTGCCCGAAACTTTATCTGCAGTAAGTCTGGAGACTGGAATATGCTGACATTACTTTGCATACATGAATTGACAGCACACTAGCTCTGAAGATTTTTTGAAGTCTGACAGCTACAGAAAATGAACTGGTCTGTACTTGCATGGCGGTATGTCTGAAATTCCCAAAATTAAGGCTACTTTTTCAGAGCCTTTGAGCAGCAACTCAAACTGAACTGATCAGGAAAAGCACAAAGTCAGAATTTTTGGCCAGGCAATTAAGAATCTAACGTTGCTTGGGGAAACCCTGACATCTGCAGATCATTTACGTACAGGAAAAAGAAGCAAATAAGGAATTTCCTCTGAGAGGATCTCCAATGCATAATGGACATCACAATATGATGGTGTTATACAGTCTACAAAAGTGAACCTTGATTTCAGAGAACACTGGTAACATGAACAAAGAAGAACCATGTGAGGTAAAAGATGGAAGATGGAGCACTCTGGTTAGTCAAAGCCTTCCTTGCTTGCATGTGACAACATTCAGAAAAAAATACATTAAAAATAACATAAAAATAGATACAGTGGGTAAAAAAAAAATAAAACAAAACCCAGAAAAAAACATCTTCAAATTGAAGGAACTACCTACATTATTCCTGGAGAAGACATTGTTCATCCAGTTGGTGAAGGTTTTCTTTTGCATGGACATACGCTGCTCCTGCAGCTTTTTGATATGACCTTTTTCATATTCGGTGCCCATGGTCACCTAGGAAGTCAGAAGCCTCAGTAGGCTGCTGAGTGCTGAAGAGATCTGCCAGGCCACCTACAAGAAACAGTCACATTCCCAGTGTATATATGAAACCCAGCACCAACAGGTACAAGATTCAATACCACACCCAGTGTAATACCCTAATTTCCTTTTGCTTGCACTTTGAACTTTAATTTCACCAACTTTATTTTTAACTTGCTTGATCTCACCCTTTTAAAATACATCTCTAGTTTCAGGATGAAAATGTGACATGTGAATCTATGCAACTTTATTTTCTTGCTCTCAGCCTTCATCCAGTCTCCTTAATCCCATGAGGACCACCACCACCTGAAAGCCATCAATAACTTCCTTGGGTGTGCTGGAAGCACATCACAGAGAACTGGTCTTAGACACTGCCAGAAGGAGGAATCCACAGATCACTTCCAAAAAGAAAAAGTGGTGTGCTCTCTGAGGACTGGCTGAGATGCTCTTGTTGGCTTTCAGACCACAATACTTCCAACAGAAATCAAAGTGCTGCTTAGAAAAGAAATGGAATCTACTTGATTCCTTCCTCACATGGTGTTGTAGTTTAAGGCCTGGCGCTGCGGAAGAATTCGGGATGTAACGGAAAGTTAGCAGACCCCCTCTCTGTTAGGATAGTAAAACCTTCTGTAATTAGCCAATAGCACTTAAGTGTGACGTGAGCAGATGGGAGTAACACAATGACCCTAGGTTATAAAAGGTCAAATTCTCCTGCAATAAACGCCATTGCTTCGCCATCCATCACATTGATGTCTTGTGGGTAGATTGGTCTGAGTGGCCAAAGGGGGGGCCACCATGCTGGCTTCTGAACTAGGCTGTTTGCCTTGCTTGAAAAAACCAACAACATGGGTTCAGTTTTTGCACATCTATCACAGCAAGGATGGTGACACAGGTCCATAGTCCATGAACAAGGCCCTAGCCTGGGTGTCAGGAAGCATTATTCCTATTTCCTACTCTTGTCTACCTCATCCATACCAGTGAAAAGTCAGGCTTGTGATTCCTCACAGTACCCAAGCTGAATATTCAGAAATATTAGAAGGGAGAAGTCTTCCCTTTTGAGTCTGTGACACAATAAACTGGATTTCAGCTCAGCTGACTAGTTCTTTTGAAGACTCAGCTTACACTGTAAATTGTAACAGCAGTGACCTTGCTGTTTGGAAGGCAAGAGGATCACTTTAAAAAAAAAAAAAAAAGAAAGAAAAATCATGTAAGATCCATGGCTAGAGACACCATTAGTGACCAGACATCATCTGCTTGAACTATTGCCATAATTATAAGTATCACCTGGATATCAGCCTGGCTGGGAAACCAAGAAACCTGTTGTAGTGATGGGAGAGGAAAGAGGTGTCTACTGCTAGAAACCCACTTCAAAGAGAGAAGAGAATGAAAAATTAAAACATCTGAGAAACTGTGAGAGTGTGGAGCAGTGTGACCTACTTCCCAAAATTCCACGTTTTTTTTGCAAAATTGAAGTTCTGAACAGTTATGGGCTTTGTACCCATTTAATTCATCAAACATAAAATACTGGAAAATAAAACTGAATCTGTTGCAGCATAAGAAGACAGCAACAGAGAACTAACAACAGCACCCACTGCAAATGGGAAATCTTTTGCCTGATAGTTTTCCATGCTCTGATTAGTAAAAAAATAATTGCTATTTTACAATATTATAAGGTGTGTGAGGTACAGAAGCAATGTTTTTTTTACTGCATTTTTTGTTATGTCTTTTTGGGGCAGATGTTTCTTAAATCTCAGTGCTTGACTTCTTCAGAACAGGGACAGCATTGAATCATCATGGTTCAGCTACAACACAGGAAAGAGTCATGACTGTAGATGACAGCCTAATGAAAGGAAAGTTTAGCAAAATCTGAAATAGAATTATGGAGAATGTCCTCTCAACATTTTCTTATCTTCTAGGCTAGTTCAGCACGGCCTACTTTCTCCATTTGAAGAGCAGATATTCAGAGAATTGCCTTTCCTAGCTGGAGAGGTGATATTAACTCACTCCCATGCAATAACCCATAGAGGTAACCCATATCATAATGCCATTTCTGAGTTTGCCAGATGCTTCTCAGAATATCTGCAGGCTTCTTTTGTTCCTAAGGATTGCTACCCAAACACTGCAGTCACCCCAAATAATGATGGAGCTGGCTTAATTTAGGTACAAAGGAAACTCACACAACAGCTCACCTGCTTCATCAAGTTAGAAATGCTCCCAGTATGGGTAGATGATTACTACTAAATAGTAATAGATTGTCCACATTTGCAGGATGCATAAACAGCTCTAAGAGCCAAAACTAGTCATACTGGTACATTACAAGAAAAGAAAATATCAAAGAACATGAAAAAAAATTGACTTACCCAGTTTTGGAGGAAGTCCTTTCTGACATTCAGCAGCTGGTTCTCCTGAGGAATGACTTCCACTCGATCCACTCCTACATTCACCTCACTGCTTTAATGCAGAGCGACCTTTGATTTCAGGAACAGAGACCAAGTATTTATGATATACCTATGAACCTTTCATCTGATGTGAAAGAAATGAACCCATCAGAACACAATGAGTAAAGGTTCACAGGCCTTGTCCTGTTCTTATATTAAAAAAATAATACATGAACATCACCAAAATTGCTGTAAAGCAGTTGAAAAGTCATGCATAGCTCTGATGTTTTAGTAAAGAGACTCTTGCACAATTGAACTGGAGGTTCTGCCCTTCTAAAGAAATTCTTACCTGGAAATTGAACCTGACAATGGACTCAGGAAATGAAAGCACAGCAGAAAGTACAAAGATCAGAGCGATATCCAAGTGGTTAAACTGGGAGACAGCAAATGAGAAGGTGAAACTGTGAAGTGTTAGGAATTTGCTCAGCACTGAGGAAGCTTCTGTGCACAGATACCTGCTGCTGGCAGAGCAAACTGGGGTCAAGCTGGCAGTGCCAGCTGATTCCAAATTTTACTATTCATGGGTTTCTCATTAATAACAAAAGGGAAAATAATTCTGGTGACTTATGTAGATAGCAGTGAGTCCTTTCTGGCCTTTACAAGGTCACACATGCACAGAACACATTTACCATTGCCAGGAATCAGAAAGTTGCTGCTGGTAATCACTACTAGAAAATGGGCAGGTATCTGAAATCAGAGGCTGTAAGGAAAGATGTCAAGCTTAGAGATGAGGTAAGGGACTAGCAGTATTTTCCCTTTTAGCAAGTGTATTTTAGCTAGCCTCCAAAAGGGACAGGAAGAAACATAAAAAGAAAGTAAGAACCCACAAAAGGGACAGGAGGAAACATAAAAAGAAATTAGGAAACCACCCAAACTCAGGACAGATAAAACTTGATCAGTAGATTCTGTGTCTTCATATGCACACTAGAGAAATATCATATATAATATCACATAAAACAGATAAAAATAAATTAGTTTATATTTATGTAAGTTTATATTTTATATAAGTTTAATATTTCTATTATAGGTATTTCTCAAAATATTCCCTCCAAATGCTTGGACTCGTGTCCTGGACTAGCCAACTAATACTGTAAGCTGTTGGTTTAAATCTGGCACAGGTTGGCTAGGTTGTGTGAGAAAATGTCCTTTCTCCTTTCAAATAGAAGGCAGAGGACCAGTGGGTGAATTGGTACTGGATGCAGACATTTCTCCCTATTGCAAGTTAATTATTATCTATATGGTTAAATGTGCAAATCGCAGTCTTTGCTTTTTATGATGTTACAAGGCAATCAAAGGTATGGTATAAAATTTCACTAACTCCTGAATATCTATCTAAAGTTCAAAGTTAAATGGTGGACACTTATGTGACAGTGATAAATAAAGCCATTTCCTCAGTTATTTTTATCTTAACAAAGAGGAAGGGCATGAAAATATTTGTGTGCAGTTTCCTGGAGGGATCAGGAAAAAAATCACCCATCTCGGCTAATTATGGGCTGTCTCTTGCTGCATTTGCAGACAAGGAAAGCCTTTCTGCCGACCTCAGGAAGAAGGGCCTGAAGAGTACCCTTCTCTTGCCTTGTTTCCAGTCTGAAGTGGTTTTCCATGATGGCAGACGTGTTTCTTTGTTTCCTAACAGGAAGGATCCCGGTGCCGGCTTCTCCTCCAGAAAATAGCCGTCAATAAGATGTGTTAGGGTTTCTTACCACCCTTTCTTATCTGCCCACAATCTTGTTCTGCTTAAGAGGAAAACAGAGACTGTGGAGATCAAACAGACCTCATGCACAGGCAGCTTGTCTAGCAGCCCCAAAACTGCACAGTTCCCAGCCCATCCTCCACTGCTCCTCCACTCCTGGCCACAGCACATAAATCAAAGGACATTATATAGACACTTAGTTCTATCTATATGAATTCCTTTTCTTAAATGTCATCATTGTCCTCCTCTCGTAACACACATGTGAATTCCCTGCTCCTCTCTAAGATGGGAAGAAATGTTTAATTCCCCTGCCATAAAAAGCATCAAAGTGACAGCCACAGGGTTTGCTGCTGAGTTTGCTCCCACCACTCCCAGCCCCGATCTCAGGTGGGGGCTGATCACCATGAGCTTTCCCAGGGCAGCACAGGCTTGCCCTCATCATTGCCTTTGCCCACGGGGTTGGAGGAGTCTGCCAAAAAGGAAAACACATGCACAGCTGGGTGCAGAAGCCTTCCTGGGACAAAGCATCCCCACTAAGGCCATTTGTGGCTGACAGTGCTGTAACTTAATGAGCCCTTCATTGTACCCAGCTGCTACAGGCGTGCTCTGCGCTGCCAGCGAGCAAAGCCAGCTCCGGTTTCAAAGCCTTGTGGCCACACGCATTCCTGCTTTTGCGGGGGCCGTGTCTGTTCACATGGCTCAGGTGGAAGGTTTGGCACCATCACCCTCCGTTACGTAAGCTTCGCACACACCTTTCTGAAGGTACAAGAAAATCCTCTCCGCTCCCTGCTAAGGAGAGGGTTCCCCAAATCCCAAAGAAAACAGGCATGTTAAATGTAAACACGTGCATGGCATCTCAGCACTTTATCCCCCGCTGTGTCTTCCTGTTAATTCCACGTGAGAGTCACAAAACATCTGGACATTGACTCCACAGGGAATAAAGGCAGTCCCCTCCCGAGGCTACAGTCAGCTCCCAGTGTGCCAAGCAAGCACACAAATTATCCTGCTGCCTGGGGCCAGCAATCTGGGTCCCACAGGGGGCCCTTTCCCTCTGCCACCCTCCCCAGCTCTGGCAAACAGCTGATGTTCAGTTTCATCAATGTAGTGTGGGCACGGGTGAGCTGAACCATGATCCCAGAATGTTTCCTAACCACATCTAACCACATTCTTAACCACAAATAACATGTAATCTTAGATCTCATTGCGGCTCAGAGGAACTAAGCTTTGGATATGGAGAACACTGGAGAAGAGCAGACAGTAAGTTATCACAAGAAGCTGTTCACTCACTTGGGAATGGAATACTAGAACTGAAGAAAAGTTGGGAGGAGTTAGTCAAAAGCAGCTGAGGAGAGGCATGGCAACTTCCAGCTCAGTCAGGACAGATTCCCTGCTTTCACAGGCCTCTCAGTTGAACTTTTGTCCCAAAATAGCCACATAGTTCTCTCAGCCTCTTTCCCCGAAGGACTTCAGCACACCAGCCCCAGGCACCCCCCTTTCCCTGCCCCCTACATACCTGCTGTGCCAGCACTGCTGTCACCAGCCACCCCGGGGTGCCACCCACCTGCAGGCAAGGGGGTCCACGGTGGATGGAGCTTCTTTCAAGCTGGGCTCTGCCTGGGAGGATCTAACCCAGCATCCCAGGATGCTGGGTTGCTATAAACCTCAGCCTCCTCATGCTCTAGTCTAAACTAGAAGTTGCTTTTCTCTTTGAATAGTTGGCTAGCAGCGACATGACATCAACAGGGAGCAGAACTCAAGCAGAACAGTCGAGTTACATCATCCAAAGAAACTGGAGCCCCTCACTGCATTTGAAAAAAGAGGACAGCTTAAAGCAAAATCAGATGGATTTATTTTTCCTGGCATGAAGAAGTTCAGTCATCTTTTTGAAACAGAAAATATACGTTTGCTTGTTTAGTCATGAGTTACAGATATTTTCTCCTTGGAGCTGTTTATATTATCTTGAAATTTCCCTTCTGTTTCTGAACCTCAAATAGTTAACATAAGAGCTTCAAAGACTTTTTGAGATGAACACATGGGACAGAGGACTTTCAGTCTCTTTGCATTTCATACAAACATAGATAAAAGGTTTCAAGTGACAGAATAGCCTTAATATTTTGAACATCAAAGTGAAACTGGGCCTTAGAAATCACCATGTTGGCAATGCCAGATCTAACTAGTGTATTTATATAATTTATTTCAGATATTTCCATTTCTTTCACTGATACTAATGAAGACTGTTGCACAAGAGTGAAAATTCTTATTCACAGCTGTATTTTAGGGGGTTGTTTGTATATCAGACTGATAAAGCATTTGGCTCCATTTATTGACAAAACAAAACCGTGGGATTCACATATGGAATTGTCTCCCAGCACCCTTAGTGCCAGAGCACTGCACCTTCCCCTGGGGCCAGTGTGGGTCTCTCTGTGTGGGTCCCCCACTGCCCTCACCAGCAGATTACTGACTACAAACCAGCCCAGCCATCCCAGCTTCCTTGTGAAGGTGTCCAGTCAGGTGGAATGGTTGAAGGTCATTGGCAAAAACACTCTATAAACATTTAACAAAAATGTACAAACAGTTAACATTAAAGGTGCGAATTTTAGCAGATGAGAGCTAAGACATGGTAATACAACAGAAATAAAAATGGCAATTACTCTCCATTACAGGCAAAAACTGCCAAACCCTGAGCTTACTGGTTATGCTTACGTTGTTTTTTAATTTCTTACTTTCAGACTAGACACAAAAGAATTCATTCTGAGAAAAAACCAGAATTATCTGAAAAGAGAATCAGTAAGCGTAAGCAGCATGTTTCAGCAGTTCCTTGTTTAAAAAATTGAAAAATGTTGAACATAGAAATCTTACAGTATACATAAAATACAGCAGCTGGTGAGAGATATATATCATTCATGAGCTACCTTCACTACAATGAAATCTTCAGAGCTCTAGACTGAAGTGGAATATGGGTTGCTGAGCTAGCAAAACTTTGGAAAGAACATGGACAAGCTCCATCTCAGAGAAAAGAACAAACAAATTGGTGGGAAAACAATTCAGTTGTGGCATTAGTGAGCTTCCAGTATTCACTGGATAAGAAACTGAGTCCACATCCTACACCAGCTACAAATCTGTGCTAGCATGAAGTCCTCCACAGGGGAAAGGGAGAGGAGTCTGCCTCAAAACCATGGCTTCCATCCATACTTTTCCCTCAGGTCAGAAAATCTGCATATATTCAGGACTTCTGAACATACTAGTGAAAAACCACCTTATCTTCCTGACTGTGTTTTGATCACAACAGGTTTTTATTTGGTATGAATATTTATTTCCAGCTCATTGCCGTGATCCCTGAGTGAAGGAAGGCACTTTCAACAGATGCATTTGTTCACTTGGCTGAGCAGGGCAAGGCAGCCAAACTTTTCTCCTGTGTTTTCCTACCCATGTCAGGCAAGCCTGAGGGCCATGCTTTCAAAAGGTCCTCTGCGCTCTTAGTACTTGCAGCATGGCAAGATCAGAGAAACCCAGAGCAGTGTCTGCTCCAAAGGCCTTACAAATGCACCAGACATGGGAGCAAATAAGGTTTGGAGAAATTAAGTGGCACACCAGTACTCTTATTTTTCAAGGTTAGTACTGCCACTAGAGTCAAAACAGAAATGTTTCACAGTTTAAAAGTGCCAAATATTAGAAGTAACAACTACTGCAAAACTTACAAACTGGTGGCATGGACACTTGTCTCTTTTCCTACTATCCAAATATGAATTGTGGATTAGAGAGAATAGCTGCTGAAGTGTGCTGTAAATTTTTCAAAGTCTGAAATGAGGAGCATGTAAAACAACATTCTATTAAAAATAAAACCCCACAGAGCTACCCTTCCCACCTCCAAACCACACTAAAACCTCACCTTCTTCAGATTATTTTTTACTTTTAAAAGGAGCAGTTCCAACAAAGTTGCTGCAGTTCCAGAGCTACAGACCCTCCAGGAACCCACACTATGTCTGTGTGTGAAACACACGCTTCCATGTGACACATGGCACCAGGAGCCAGGAGCTTTGCCAACACTGCTACATAGGAACTCCACAGCAGCTGAAATTTGGCCACAGCAGGAGCAATGGCTAAACTGTAGCATCCTGATGGTACAGATGCATCTTTGGAAATGCCTCAAGTAGGATGTGCACCCAGAGGAGAAAGAGAGGGGCCAGAGGAATTCATTCCAGCACAATGTTACAGCAAATGTTCTATTGGTACCATTGGTTATTCTCAAGTAGTAGGCAGAATGGTGTGGAAGGTGTCTGGGTTTTTTGGGACAAACACATCAAAGTGCTTTTTGCTACACTGCTATTCAATCTATGCTTATTTTTCAAGGTTAGTGCCTCCACTGAAGTTAAAAGCACCACCTCTCAGATCAAGTTTCAAACCTTCAATCTGCACACAGGAAGTTTTACATTTATGTTCCACACTTGGACTTTACAAAACCTCCACATTTAGACATTAGGAAGCTTCAAAATTACATTCTGCTATAACATGCTAAATACAGAAAGGTGCTGGAGGTTTGTGGGAGTTTTTTAAATTCTTTACAGATAAATTTAATTCTGGAATCATGCCTTGGCACAAACAGTAGTTTCAGCCACCAGTTCAAGGGCACAGAAAAGAAATAGCCAGAACCTATTATGGACACATAAACTGAGGTAGGGAAATCAGCAGCTTGCCAAATAGCTCCTCTGCCTATGACCCTTAAGTAGCAGGATTATAAAATTCCAGGTACTGAAAGATTATCTTCTAGAAAGAAGCACACAACCCAAAATCTCAGGTAGTTCAATATTAGTTTATTAAATCAGCAATTTTAAACACTGCTTTCTAAAAATGATTACAAAGCATATTAAAATATATTACAGTATCTGCAAAGAATTTACTGTGTAATGAAAGTGCAACAATAATGAACTTACAACTTTGTTTGCCTAGCTGGACAAACTGAAGCACACTGAACAGATCAAACCTTTCCTCAAAAATCAGAGTGCCTTTTAAGTGAAAACAGTGTTTAACAAAAATATTAGAAAAGGTGAGCATGTGAAATGGAAAATTAAGTTCATGATCATTTTCTCAGTGCTAAGTTACACATATCCATCAAACCATACACCTCAAACTCTGCTTGAGATCCAACAATTTAAAGAGCCACCAAAATGAGTGCACATTGTGAAGGGAAGGAAGTGACAGAAAGAAAAAAGAGGGTGCATTTCAAGTGCTGGCAATAAACAATGTTGAAAGCCAGGGACCACATACCTGCTGCTTTGAGAACATGTTCCACACAAATCCACACCACACCCAATTAACAACTGGGACCTCACCCTGACTTAAAAATCTTTTTAAACTCTCCAGTTTCAAGCTGTCACAGCTTTTAAGTCTCTCAATGTCCTGTATTGTGGTTATGAACCATAACCCCACATTTTCTTTTGCAATCTACAACAAAAACTCCTAATTTCTGAAGGAATAGAACTAGGGTCACAAATTAAAACTGGGTCGTAGAATAGTTGGAGAAAAGATAAAAGCATCAGTTTCTACTTTAGTTTAAGAGAGTCTTTAAGACAGTACTTTAGTTTAAGACAGTGGGCACAGATTCTACAGGATGAATTACAGATAGCTTTGAATGATCTTACAGAAAATGTTATTTTAATCCTAGGGATAAAATGTCTGATCAATCCAACATCCTCATCCTTTCTTCATCCCCTCTCCTGAACAGCATCCACTCTCCTGAACAGCAGCAACCTACTCCATCAGTTTAGTTGTGCAAGAAATTTCTGTTTAAAGTTCACATGAAATGTACTTTATTCCTATCATCTAAGAGTGATGCTAGTTCACTGTAACACATACCTAGAAATAAATACATTTATGTAGCTGTGGATCTGACCACAAAACACTTCTATTTCTCCAGACAGCCAGAGAAAATCCACCTCTACTTCTATACATGCTTCATGCATTCATCCTTCAAATTCTACAGGAACACAAAGCAAAATACTACAACCCCATCTAAGCAAAATATTTTAACTTATCACCATGATGTATTTCAATTTGTCTGCCTTAAGACCAAGTTAGCATATTGTCACAGAGACTGAGGAAAAGGCTGTGCTCTCAACAAAACTAGAAAAACCAAATAAAGCCACTGAAACTATCCTGCTCTTCTCGCTGAAGGACGATATTTCTAATGGCATGGGATCACATGGCTCCAATGTGTCTGGAGCATCACCCCTGGAAGCTACATGTGGTGGGAACTCTGGCAGGAGTCCACCCCTGCAGCCCTGTGCTCCTGCAAAGCGAGGTAAGGCAGAGTCAGAAGATCAGCAGCTTCCTAGATCCTCTCACTACAGATCCTTCCTAGATCCTATACTACAGTAGTCACAATACAGGAGCTTGCATTCTTTCTCCTGGTGGCTTTCCTGATTAAGCTAGTCTCTAGTACTAAGCTGGTCAGTAGTGTATAAAGTGGTATTGACTGCAGACACTACCCACAAACAAACACACAGTACTAATTCTGCAGCCTTTTTCTTTTTCTTAACACTTGCAATCTCCATAGACTAATTTTTGTTCAATCAAAAATTAATTCCATAGAAAATAGTTACTCTGCAGATGTACAGTCACACAGGTAGGCGCAGCATCAAGTTTCACAGCTCTACTGAAGTGCACAGAGATGCACTAAGGTTAATTTGGCTCCTAATTTAGGTCTAACAGAAATAAAGCTGGTATGCTTGAATGACAGGAAAACCACCTAAGAATTAAAAAAAAAAAATAAAAAAATGAAGTCCTTAGAACAATTTAACTATGTCAGGACATCCTTGATACAGGCCCAGAAACCTGGCAAGGTAAAGGTGATGTTCTGCCATTACTTAAAATAGCATCATTGTTGTCCTATGGAAGAGCCCTGACAAAGTTCATGGAAATTGCACCTCAGAATAGAACAGATGTGGAAAGATGAGAGGTCCAGAAAGATGTGAAGTATTAAACCTGACAACCTACAAATATATGATTTGAAAAAAAGAAGCTGAGGCTTTTCTTGGATAACCCACAAAACTGAACACGGAAGTGTGACTGAAACCTTAACTGGGAGACAATACCCGAACTATTTCCCTCCCCACCCCTATTACAAGGATGTTAAAGCACTTTTTGGCTTGCTCTGTCTCAGAAGGCATTACCGCTGCCACTTACTGAGACTTAACAAAAAAAGTGCTCAAAACTACAGTACCTTTGATGTGTAGGGTCTTTCCTATGACAAATGGAATACGAATCAATTCCTGCTCATACACACAGACCAGAACTGACTGCCAAATTTGATTTTAGGAAAGAACTGGCCCTCCCTGGAAGACACAAGTTCACAGGGCCAAAGACTTGCCTTCTTTTAAGGTACTGATAACCATCAGTTGTAAGTAGACAGTATGTTCAATTTTGATTGTGTGTTGCTGGAAAATAAATGTTTATTAAGCATCCATTCCTTTAATGGATTGTTTTCAATAAAGGAGTAATATTTGAGGGAATGAGTCTATCATTTATTACAATCAATGTAACAGTTCCTGTTAGCCTCCCCATCCTTCAAATCTGCTGCCATGGGAATTGAATCTCTCTTTTGTGGTTGTCGACCACATGTTGGCAAAAGAATTAAAAACTTCTCTTAAATATATATTAAAAAATACACAGACATAACTGTATAATTAGCTGTAAATAGAAATTAAATACCAAGGAAAATATCCTGAGACAATCTAACGTGCTTTGAAAAGGCTGACTTTGAGCAATACACTTTTTCTGAATAGAAAGTGCAGCTTAATTTCAATGCAAACATGGGGTTCTTTTTTAGCTTAAGAAACCATTCCGCTGTCACTTTGAACCATTCAGAAATTCATTGTCTGCAGAGAAGCTAAGCTTAAACCGCAAAGGAAATTATAAATCCAAGGAACAAAGCAGATCTCAGGTCTTCTAATGATAACACTGAATGCATAGTGCTGTGTAAAACTGAAGAAGCTGCTCTTCAGATAAGACACAATGACAGATCAAAAAAGTAATTTTAGTGTTTTGCAGTTCTAGGTAGAATCAAAAGTTTTAAAACTTTTAAAGCTTGCCCAAATTCTGAGCATATACAAGACTCTCCTCATCACTCTTCTACTTTTTTCTAAATCTAATTAAATAATAAAAGGAAAAAAAGAAATTCCTTTTATATCAGCCTTTTCTTTGATTATATAGAGATGCTGGCATTCACTGAATGGCTTAAGTACATTTCTAGCATTTAAATATACCTTGCATAGGCAGGTGAATTTAACATTTTGAGCTTCAGTGTGCTATTTAGGATAGTTTGGAGACACTTAAGGTTGATCAGTATTTAGGTTTGGTGAAGGTCAGCAACTTTTATACATGACATTTTCTGTTTTATGGTTGTAAAGGCAGTGAGATGTGGACACAGGAGTACAACATCATTTTCACCTTATGACAGAGCTATTATAAGGCACTTGTGATAAGCATGTCTGAGTGAAGGTCAGAAGGGACAGTGATACAAATGTTTCCCTGCTGCCATGCTTGTAACTTCAGTAGCTTGCATGAAATGTGCTGTGAGGTTAAAGGATCTAAGCTTAACTTCAAATTTTGGTGTTTTCCACACCTTTCCTGTGGGATTTTCAAAATCCTCATTCTTCTCCTTGTATTGTTCATTCTGCTGTCTGGAAAGGTTTCCTGTGAGATGGTGGCACCAGGTGGGAAGGTAGCGTGCCAGGCAGTTCATATCCATCCAGTTTAATCTTGATGAGATGTTTTGCTAATGCAAACTCTTCATCATCCAACATCCCATCGCCATCACAGTCTGCAAGTTTCCAGATCTTGCCCAAGACGCTGTTGGGTAGTTTAGAAGTCACCATCTCCTTCTTTGCACTAATCCCAGATATTTTGCCATTGATTGGTGACAGAGTGTAGAAAATCTCATCGTAAGCAGGTTTATCTTTGGCAACAACCCACTCCTCTTCATCAGCTCCTTCCTTAGCACCTTCCCCGTATCCATGGCCAAAAGGTCCTGCCATGGTGCCATCAAATGCTCCACCGTGTACCATCTCTGTGGGCATGTTGTTCTCTTCCTGTCTGATTAGGTTCATCAGGGAGGCAATTTTGTTGGCCAGCATGTTATCCACAGCTTCAATTAGCTTTGGTTTCAAAGAATGAAATTTAGTGAAGTCACAATTCTCCAACTGCTCCTGTGAATGACACAGTGACAGTAGTTAAAAACTATTCCAATACATTGAAAAGTTTACAGAACCAGTGTCAAATTATTAAAGTAATCAAGTATTAATTAAATTGAAATGTCTTTTGAAGCTTTTTCTATAGCTGAAACTCCTCTTGAAGGAGAAACAAAAGTGACACATATGTACCGTACAACAAATATATTTCATCAAACACACTAAGACAATTTTGCAACAGTGTATGAGTTTGTCTATTAAATTACAGTTACAATAAAATTTTCAAAGTGCAGTGGATAAAACCACAGCAGTTGATGAATGTTACCCAGCAACTTTCCATTTGGTGATTATTTTCCAAACATAAAAGAAAGCATGCAAGTAAATCCTCAGTCCTGCTAGCACTTTTGCAAGTGTTTAAAGTTAAAAATAAAATCAAATGTTTGCAGGACTGATCTGATTTTCTAGATTAGACTTCTTGGTTGTGGTTAGGTCAGCCAGAAGTGTCCTCTACCAATAAAGAAAAACTGAGTTAACAGCAGCAATGTTTTATAGCGGTGCTGCCAGAACTCACTAAGTCAGATGGTCCCTGCAGAATTTGTGGAGTTTTCATCCTCCTAGCACCAATGAGATGTTCACCTAGGTAATATGTACTATTCCAACACAAGCGCAAGCATGTTTTACACCACAGTGTTGGAAAATTAAAGATGCTTTAGGCAAGTATTACATTTTTTCTACATACAAAATGCTTGCCAAGAAGAGAAAGTTACAGTGGAAAAGGTTTAAAAAAACCCAAACATCACCACCACCACCTCCCACCTTCTGTAAAATGATGTTAAATTACTTTAACTAATCCCATCTATCACCTCAAGGAGCTGCTCCATTACATATTAAAATGATCATGACATGAACCAAAGAAACCTGGAGCACTGAGTAAAAACAGCCAACCAACAACTCTGTTCAGGTGACATTTATACACAATCACCTGATTTACAGCACCTGATCAGAGTAAATTTATGTAGTGCAATAAGTGCTTCTCAGGAAGCAAAGGTCAACTTGCTACCGGTTTTGGCACAATTTCGTTTTCACACAATTTTGCTCCTCATTACAGAAGTGACTGATCCCTCCTTGCTGCCATCTGCTGCTGAGGCTTATCTGACAGATACGGTAAGTTTGCAAGTTTCATTCAAATTTTGTTTCAATATTCAGATCTTACATTCTGCATCACAAACAAAAGCAGCAAGGGAAGAAAGAGTCAACCTTTGCCACAAAATCCCCTTTCAAAACCTAACTCATGAAACCCTTCCAACAATCCTGCCTGTGAAAACTTGGCTAAAATACATCTTGTGCTTCATCTGTGATTTGCTATCTCATGCCAATAGTTGATTCCCAGGTTAAATACCTTAGCTTATGAAAGAAACTTGTGCCTTCCTACAGATAATCAGGCAATCATCACTCCTGATGATTAGCTGTGCAAGTACCACATATATTGTCAGAATGACACGTCTGGCAAACATCCTCTATCACACTCATGGCTAGTTCATAGTCAGAGCAAACTGCAGGCTCCCAATACCTTGTTCTTCAGCTTTCAAGCTCAATTATCCTCTAATTCAAAGTCCATTTAAGAAGCGTAGGATCTGAGATACAAAAATTGCCAGCTGATGCTTGAAATCACTGATAACACAGCATTAGTTGTTTTTCCCAAGGATATTTTCTAAACAACTTATCTCAAATCAGAGACCAGGAATAAACAGAAAGTGACAGAAAATTGGTTGAAAGACTGCAGGAAGTCCAAAAGAGGAAGAGACAAAATGTATTTAAAAATTAGTTGTGGTTATAAACCAAGAACTTCTCTCTCCTTCACAGAATACAATCTTAACAAGATAGGAAAAAAGCAAAAGACTATTTTCAGAAACAAAAGGTTTTAAGCTGGACTTTTAAAGTAACACATTGCCTTTATTATTCATTGGGAAACAGTACCAGAAAAACAGGAACAAAGTAGAGTAAAAGTGAATTTATGACTAAGGATATCTTCACCTACACAAATACTTGATACCATTCCCAAAATGATAAATATAACCACATTTAGGATTCAAAACAAGAGGCCCTTCCCTTAATCTCTGAGTGTTCACTGCCAATTTATTTGCACAAAGCCTTTAGTACTTTCTGCCAGGAGACACCAAGTACTGACTAAAAGGACAGAAGGTCAGATTCCTTATTCCTTATTTTCATATTCTTTATGTAGTCCTGTATCAGTGAATGCACTCTAAGCAGGTTACCACTCTTTTGGTCTGTACCACTTCCAAGTCACTCTAATGTCTTATCAGTCAAATGACTGTCACCTCAACTGCTCTACTGCCAAAGACTCTAAACTGTAATGCTGAGGTGCTCTGTTCTACCTTTTCCAATCTGGCAATCCTGTTACAAAGTTAAGAGTTATTCCAGCGGAGTGGTAATGTACCATCTTACCTGCATTTTCTTGACTTCAGGGAAGTCCCCTGCTGAGATATGGTATTCCCTTTGCAGCTGGATGTAGATCTCTGGCAACTTGTTGATTAGTTCCTTCTTCTTGTTCTCCTTCCCAAATACAGAGGGCATCTCTTTTTTCAGATAGCTGATGATATAAGCATGAACCTAAAAAGAAGCAAAACTGAAATCAGAACTACTGTTTACCGACACTTAACGGTAGTGTTCCTCACCTTGGTCATAAAAAGAAAACAGAAATATGTTTCCCTAAGGAAAGATATTATCAACTACTGTTTCTGGAACTTCGTGTTTACATGAACAGTTAGCTATCAGTTAGTTATTATTAGCTTTTGCTGCTTTCAGCATTCCTTTGAGGAGCAGAGAGAAAGGAAACACATTTCAAAGAAATACAGATGCACGCTTGCTGTTTTAAGGAGAAGCCTGGTACAGCATTCTGTGAGTACCAGCAGCAAGAGAAAAAGCAAGACCCCAGAACCCATGTCCTGACACTATACACAGAGCTCCAGCCATACTGCTCAACCTCTGTGATTTGTAACTCATCTGCCATTGTGGGAATCAATGGGATAACTCCTCCAGTAACCCATGTATGCTAAGTGCCAGGGTGTCTATTTGAAGTGATATTGCATTCCTACCTATTTACTCACAGAAAAGTGAGTACCTATAGTCTGTATTTATGCAGCTGCCTATGCAGATGACAGAGGAGCCAGTTCCAATAGCAGCACTGTGCCGTGGGGCTGCCTTGTGAAGCCCTAGGGAGAGAAGTAGAGCCTTTCCAGCTTATAAGGAAAGACATTAATTTAGGATGCCTTTAAACACATTGACGTTTGCATTGCCATCAAATTTCCTATCCTTCCCACCTTCCTTATGCCTTTATTCTGAACCATTCATCTCCTCCCCCTTGCCACTCTTCCACCACCTTTCCCCACCAAAAGGATCTGTTTGGCCACAGAGCAAATGATCCGTTCCAGAACAGAAACAGTGGTTCTGAGGTGAGTTCATCTATCCAGCTCATTGTGTGGACATTGATGCTCATTTTGCACACAAGAGGGAAGGCACCAGGGCAGAGCCTTCTCTTAGAAGTAATGTGTGGCTACCACAACTTGATGTTATCAAACTGCCCTCCTAAGCTCTGACCTGGCCAGGACCATGGCAAACAAATGTCTTCCCACAACAGCACGTCTTTACAGATCTCAGGTTCTTGTTCACTTAAAAATAATGTAGCTGTCCACAAAACAGAAGTTACTTACAATTTTCACACACACAGGAAAAAAAAAAGAGTTAAAAATCAGGAATGTCTATCAGACTGTTGAGCAGTAAACAGGTGAAATTTTGAAAACTGAAGGAAGACAAACTACCATAAAAAAGCATCAGTAAAACAAATGATTGCTTTGGTGTTATATAATACTTAATACCTACCAAACCATGACAGAATGTGCATTATAGCATTCTACACAAACCTTGCACAATCTGCACATGGCAATTGCTTGCCCTTTCATTTCCCTACTTGTTAAGGAGGAAAAAGAAAATAAATCTTTGCTTTTAAAAGAAAAGTGATGTAGGCGCTTTTTATATGCACATCTTAAGTTCGCAGCTTTCACACAACAATGCTTCCTTATATCCAAAAAGAGTTATGCATTTTAATGGCAAATAAATTTACATTTCTTTAGTGGAGAAAAAACTCCAGCATAAAGAAGCATAAACCCATGAAATTTTCCAAGAGTATAGATACGAATATTTCTCCAGAACTACAGAATGGATTCAGTAAGGGTATTTTTTAGAGCATTTATAAATAATTGTAAGTAATTTCATGGATCTTATGTTTAAAATAATATTTCTATCAAACCCAGAAGAATATGTTTATAATTCATAAGCACTAACAGTTTCACATGTACTCTAAAGTGGCCTAAGGTCTGCCAGTAAGCACATGTGTTTCTTGTAGATAAGAACAGTCCCCATCTTCAAAATGGGATAGTGAGTCACAGGACTTAGGGGGAAAAAAAAAAAAAAAGCCTAATGCCCAAATTTGACAGCATGTTAAAAGTTTGCTTTTGTTTCTAGTTACTGTAAATGCTTTAGAAAACATTAAGAAGAGGGTAGCACAGAAATAGGGTAAAATAAACCCCAAATTCAATGCTGTAAAAAGCAATTTTTGACTCTCAGTACTTCGAGAGCAGTTTGGAAGGCAGAAAAATGACACTGGATTACATTGCTGCTTTCCTGCAGATAAACAGTTTATTCCCCTTCCGTGACTGTCTAACATATCCCTACGAGCACTGCGCTCTGTATTTACCTTAATCCATTTTTATTTTACATTTCATAGGAATATCTAAAAATTACTCAACTGACACTCCTTCAATGCCAAAATTATTGTAACAAATGAAAAAAAAATGCTGCCAACATTTACAAAACAGACTGGATCTGAGTTTGCTCTGGGATCAGAGCAACTTTTAACACAACATCATTGTGATTTTAAATGGAATTTTCGGGGTGCCATAAAGCTCAGGCCACAAAAAAATCCCCAAACAAACAGCCCCCCTGCAGCCCCAAAAAATAACCCCACCAAAAAAAACCCCACAAGTCTGTCTTCATATTCAGGAAGTTAAATAAGCCAAGACAGGATGTGGTACACACCCCCAAACAAGTATTCATATACCAATGGAATTGCAAGTCCTCTTATTTTTGATTAGAAGTTCACACTAAAATGTGTTCCAAGGAAAATGCATTGGTAACTGCATGGGAAATTGGGAGTTCCTCTCTGCTCCAAATAGCTTTCTCCCCAAGTGACTACCTTTTCCTTGAAAAAGTGATAATCCAATCCAAGATTAAAAACTGTGCTAAAAATAAGCTTATAGCAAGAGAAAAATTGGGAAGGTTAAGAAAGGACATGCTGAGAGCAGCAGAGACTGCTCATTCAGTTTTGTTCTCTTTTGTTACCTTTGCAAGCCTTGCCCTTTTAATGAGATCATTGAGTTTCCTCACAGCAGCCTTCTGCGGGAGACTCTGGATATCCCTGAAAAGATCCTGTGCCTCGGCTTCAAAGAGTCTTCGATTGTCTGTGTTTCGGAGAGGATGGGCCCAGAAGGAGCCGATGTAGACCCGCAGGACCTCTGGCGTGTCGATCACCTTTCCCAGGGACCACATCAGAGCACCGTAGACCCTCATCAGCTGCTGCGTGTCCACTTGGTCAGCCTTATTAAGCACCACTCGAATCTTGTCATCCTGGCCCCGGAATGCCTTAATGGCCTCTGAAAACTCATCAGATATATCCAGCTTATGGGCATCAAAAAGGAGGATGATTCGGTCAACCCTCTCAGCAAACCACTGGAGAACTTGGCAGAAGTCATAACCTGAAAGAAGAACACACCATTACAGTCTTGGAGAGTCTTGGAGAAGGCAGGGCTGGGGATAGAGAACAAGAAGATAACAGCCTCTACCTGGGGGCAAAAAGGAGATTTATTACTCAAGAGGTCAGTATCTGTGGACAGGCAGGTCAGGACAACTGTATCCTGCATTTCCTTGGACCAGTCTCACTATTACTGCCTTTTGTTTTTTATCACTGCCATTTTTTTCTGTCTCACACCCACATTTGCCTCTTTCCAGGAGTCTGGTTCCAGCTCAGCACCCAAACTGAACAGGACTGTGGGGCTCTGATCACAATCTCTCCTCATCACTGCCAATATTGGTCACCTCGGTAGCACTGCTTATCTGAATTATCAAGGAAAATGTGCAACCATTTTTGCAATTGCAAGCATTCCAGTGCAAATCAGCAACCAGAAGTACTTGGATCTTAAAATTATTTTCAAACTCAGCTCTCTGTACCTTGCAGCATTTACTGTTACTTTTGCCACGGCAGACTAACAAACTACAATTTTCAAGTGACATGACTGCATTGCTGATGGCTTTGAGGACACGGCAGGTTACAGAACATGAGCAGTGACCTTTCTGATCACCTGAAACAAGCTTTATCACGTTCTAAAGGAAAGCCTATTCATAGCAGCTGTCTAATTGCTTTTACGGGTTCAGCTGGTACCTAATCCACACAAACAACTATTCAAGAACTCCTTATTCAGAAGTGACACATCTAATCCATAGAGTCACCACTGGTGATACAGCTTTGGGTTTGGCATGGATGTGACTCATCTAGTATGAGTAAGGAACAGCAAAGATTGTACTGGGAGCTTTTTGCTTTTTTTAAAAAAAAAAAACAATATCCATTTTCCCCTGAACTCTTTACCCATACTTTTTGAAACACTTGCCTTCATACCACCCAATCATGAATGAAACACGCTCTCCCTTCCTAAAAGGGGTTCCTCCCTACATCCTGCCACTCGTTTTTCCTTCCAAATCTTGCAGACCACACAGACATTTCTGTCTGCAAGGACGTGAACATCACCAGGGATGCCACAGAAGCAGGACAGGGCTGGACATTGTGTGACTAGGGGACAATGCTGGCACACATCTGCACATACTCCTCCAGACACTTACACTGCCCCTGAACTGAGAGGCAGGAAGCTTCTGGCACATCTTCCTGCTGACAACAGGAGCGGGAAAGGTGTGTCTTGAGACATCTTTGAACGCTGCCCTCTGTGTATATTTTTGACCCTTCAAGAAATCAGCTCCCTCATCTGTGGCCTGGATACTTTCCAGAGTTAAAAATAGAGCATGCTGGGAAATTGTGCATGCCCTCTAATTTTACATAGTCTCTTTAAAGTTTTCATGCATGTTAAAATGAAAGCTAATATTTGAGTCCTCTCTTGGTTTCAGAAGGCTTCCTTACTCCTAGTCATACCTGTCAATTCACTCATAGGTAAATAGTTAAGTAGTAGCTAGCAAGATGGGGAAAAAACAACAACAGCAAAGAGACAAGGTCTTACTCTGAGGCCCTGCAATGCTGATTCTTCCATCAAACATTTTTAATAAGAAAAGCTGCAGCTTACAAATGTTAGACACAAGCTGAAGTTCTAGAAAGCAGAACCCTCTCTGACTGAGACACATTCAGAAACAAGAAAGCATCTTGTACAATCTTACTTATTTGCACACAATAATTTAGAACATCATCAAAGCAACTCAAACTTCAAAACGTGCTAAATTAGACTTACAGCATAAATATGTTTAAGTCAGACTGACTCCTTCAGGAAGTAGGTCAGACAGAGCTTGCTGTGTGCAGCATCACAGGAGAAGTCAAGTTTGTGCTCCACAAAACCACCTATGTGCAAACTGCATTAGCAGCCCAAAAGCCATTTACAGGAAATGTATCTGACAGTGCAGTGTTTCAGCCAAGGCTGAGTGTTGTAATTTCTAATCATGGTAGTGTGGAATATGAGCATGTAATAAATGCCTGGGTGCTTGTAGATGATTTCTTGTATGCTGATGGCTAAGCATATGAAACCTTTATTTAACCTGCCCTCAAAGCCTGGGACACTAAGAGAACAGTGCTCTAAAGCCAACTCCCAAAACCTCATATTTGGTACAACCACACAACTATGAGTAATAAAGAGGACAAAACATCACTGGACAAAGAATCCAGAAGCATCTGGTAGACCAGTTTACTAGGTACACATAATTAAGATTATAGTCCTAAGAAATGAGTCCCTTATTCTGTCAGTTTATTATAAAGACAAGACTATTGTTGCATAGCCATCATATATTCTGTGCTTGTATCAGGATTTCCTCAAAAAATTTATTTTCCTCAAAAAATCCCAGGCGTGACATGTTCAAGAATTGTTTATTTCCTCTGACAGAGACATGAAACACAAGTTTCCATTTCTTAAGCAAAAGTCTGAAAACAGAGGGCAGCATAAGCCACACCCTGCATCACTACCATTTACAACTCCACAGAAAAGTGACAGCACTTAAATGCATCTGAGGAATGCAAGGAAGAAAGTTGTTTACATTATACTGTTCTGTTTAAATAATTTCTCAAGACAGGCTAATGTTTAAAACAGCTTGATAAACAGTGCTCAGTTCTCTGCAGAATTTTCATATTATTAAAAATATTCTCATTTGCTCTTTCTCCTTCTACCATTTGACTTCCTCTTTTGACTGTATTATTTTATGGCATGGCTGAGCAACCTGAAAAAGCAACTCCAGCAACTGTGTCCACAATAAACCCACCTTATTTATAGCCCCACCCCTGAATTTTTCAGACATCACCCACCTAGAGCTGTTATGAAACATTTCTTCATTCATGAACTTCAGTAGTATATATGAGTCATTATTACTTCATGGAAAGAAATTAAAATGGTGAAAATACAGCTTTTTCTCAGGAGTGACAGAGCACTAATTAGTCAACAGACCATGCAACTGTAGCCATTTGCAGCCCTAGCAGCAGGATGACAGAAATACCAACCCCCACCAGCTTCCAAGAGAAAAAATTCCGAAGTGTCATCCAGCCTTACAATATAGGTTGTACAGGGCTTGCAGTACAAAAGCATGGGACAGACCACTAAAACAGGCTCCCCAAAGATTAGGATGCTGGTTTGTCCAGTAGAGCAGAAAAAATGTAGTGAGCTTGGTTACTATAAACCTCTGCAACTCACCTCTGCTGATGCGCTGCTTCTCTCCAGAGAGGATGCCAGGGCTGTCAATGATACTGATGCTCTTCAGGACCTCGTTTGGTAGCTGAGAACACATGAACCTGCAGGAAAGGAGGGAAAAAACCCATTAACAATAGCTCTAGCTCATATGCAGATTGTCCCTTGAGAGCTCCCCATTATATATCTGATTTTAGAAAGACTCAAGTGAGATCCAAAAAAGTTTCTGAATCCTGGCAATCCTCTGTGTTTTGCAATCATACATGTTAAAGAAAAATTATGAAGGGAGCTTCTCAAAAAAGAAAACACATGGAAACCTTGTAGAACTGTACTGACTGACAGTGATAGATATATAGATAAGTGCTGATAAGACTTCAAATTTTGCAAGAGCTGACAACTTGGGCTTTAAATGCAACATTAAAAAGACTTCAAAAAACCACCATTTTGCTAGGACCAAAATTAGTACACACAAGAGAAAATTCTTCACATACTCCAGCTAATGTCCAAACTGAATGACTGAAAGGGGGAGCAAGCAGAAAGCCATACTGACAATATGTTTATGTCCCAGTCCCTGCCACATCTCCCTCTCACCTGATTTAGCGGTGTTTGAGGGATCCCTACTCCCTAACCCACCACTCTCCTCAGCTGGGGCATCAGTGAAAAACACCAGTGTTTCTCCCACAAACCCAGCCAAAAAACTATCCCACTGCCAGAAGCAAGAGTTCAAGTTACACACAGTACGCTCTAAACAATAACCTCCTGCCTCTGCAACAGGAGGCAAATTCAATAGTGGTATTAGGGAAAAATAAATAATTCACGAGGACTCTGAGAGCCGTGCAGAACACTTGGTGTGTTACATGCAAGCTACAATCATGCTTCTGGGATAGCTAATGACTGAAGAACTTCACTGCCCTTCATCATAACCTGCATTAAAGAGATTTGCATAAGAGTTTAATCTTCTTATCAGGGAGCAGCTGAAGATACTAAGGAGCACATGGAGTAACCCACCTTCCTCCTGCGAGGCTGCCCCACACAGGGTTAAGCTGCAGCCTCAGGCTCCAAGATGGGGCTGCCCTGCCTCAACCCAGGGCTTCACACTGCCTCAAAAACCAGGGTATCACAGACAGGAAACCGTAGCTGTGCCAAGATCAAATGAGACCTTTAAGGCCTTGGATGATCTGAGTCAGGAACAGTTCAGCCAGTCAAATATCACAAAACGTAAACTATATCAAAGTCTAGATGGTATTTTATACAATATAAATTATTCAAAGGAAATTGGGAAGAAAAGAAGTCCTAACACCTCACTTCACCTTGCACCTGCAAGAGACCCTGTAGCAATGAGCCTTTAACAAAAGCACACAGCGTGCCTTCCTAGATGGAACAGAAATGGCAGCACCACCTGCGCCTCTCCCTGAAACCCAAAGGGGCATAAGGAAACAGCAGCCATCTGAGCCTGCTAGAAACTGAGGGTATGGAAACATCACGTAAAATGTATTGTTTGTTTCAGTGGGTATAGAATATATTTTCTATATTACATATATATTCTATATATATATAGAATATATTTTCTATACCAGGTATAGAAAATACCTCGTATCTAAAGAAAACTCTTCCTCTTGAAAGTTTTCTACTAGCTTAAGAAATATTTTCGAAAGAGCAGTGAGGTACTATCTGAGAAAATTACATTATTTGAACTTGCCAAAACCTAAAGGCAGTGCTATGTGAAAGCAAACACATTACGTGGAAACGTAATGGATGTGCACAAGTGACAAAGAAAATACAATTAATCATGTGAGCCATTACAAAAATACATACATCACTAGTATGTACAGCATGAAGTAGCTTTCATAAATTTGGAAGTGTGAAGACTGAATTTTCTTGTATACCTTTTCTTATCACTCTCATCCAACCTTAGAAAGTCCAGTGCTTGCTCAGTATCAGCAAGATGTTTCTAGACCTGTCTCATGGGAAGAAAGGCACTGTTATGCCAGCTGAACAATACAGCAGTGTCTTGAGTCAGGCACCACCCAAACTGGGAAAGACTATGTGAGAAAATGGAGAATTACAGGCCTCAGAAATGCAGACACTGCCATCTTTGCAGCAGTCATTAGTGGCAATGGGAGGAGGAAAGTACATGGAAAACACATACGAAATAGGAGCATGAACTCAGAATTAACTGCTTGTTAGCTTTTAGAACATGTCCATAAGATAAAGATGAAAGATGGGTTAAAAATCTTGCCTCAAACTAATATTTTAGACAACTTAAAACAGTAATGATAGTGGTATTTGAATATCTCTTTTCAACACTAAGACTTATTTCTTAACATACCACTTCATGCAGGTCATGTAAGTGCTGCATCATAAAAAGCAAAACTACCTACTATCTACCTGAATGACAGACTTAAAAAAGGGCTGCAAAAACAGTTGTATGAATGAGATGACTGTAATTTCTTATGACACATCAAAACAGACCAGGACTATACATTTTTTCTCAGCAGCACACATTTATTTACATGCTTTTCTGGTATAATGCAGTATTCTTCCCTCACCAGCATCCAAGGGCACACTAGGTCCTGTCCTCCTTCCATTTCCTCCCCAGCTTTTCTTAAAAGTATACGGGTAAGTAAGAGATCAATAGAAGAACACCTCCCACAAGCAGTGAGATACAGGGGGAAATTAGAAGGGGTCATGGAAAAAGACAAAAGCAAGGTAACATCAATAAATTACTGCAGCTAATTACTAAGTACAAGCCTTGATTGTGATACCATGTTCTTGTTTGTTTCATTTTTTCCATTACCTCAGTCCCTGTTTCCTGTCATTTTGATTGTTACACTTGGATGAAAGGGCACTCAACTTCACAGTCTAAGTGTTCACAGCCTTAAGTTCCTCCATAAAACAAAACACTAGGATTGGGAAAGCATTTAAAAAATAAAATGGGGAGCGGGATGGGATGGGAGGAAGTAGACAAAAGTCTTTTAAGGCAGGAGTGAAAAATGCAGTATGAGATAAAAAGAACTGTCAGCATGGAAAATGAGAGAAGGCAAAGTAAAATATGTACTATGACTACAGGTAACCTGGTAGGAAATTAAAAATACTGAAGCCTAAGACAATTTTATCTAGCTGAAGTCATAAAGAGAAAGGAGTGGGTAAGTGAGTATTTGAAAAATGCTAGGGAAAGATAAGCACCTAGATTTCTGCTGAATAACTAACGAGTAAAAGTGAGTGTTGGGGAAGATAACGGTGCCCACAGCACCTCAATACAACAATATCACAGTGACCAAAAGAAATGGAATAATTTAGTCAGTTGCTTTGAAAGTACATCTTTCTAGCTAGCAAATAATCCTGCCTGCATAACAGTCAGAACCTGACACAACTAGTTAGATGATTTAGGCAAAAAATTACAGTGCCACTCACCCAAACAAACACATATCACTATTAAATGTTCTGTGCAAATATTTGAAAATTATGCAAAATACAATTTATATAATTTGTAAGTATATTAATTTTTTGTAGAGAGAGCACCATGGTGCGGAAAGGGAAAAACAGAAGAGTGATCTGGAAGACAGAATGCAGCCAATCACCTCAAAATTGTTATTTAAAATGGGACCTGACTACAGCTTCCCACAGTGCATATTCTTATCTCTGCAAAATGATAACCAAGCCAACTGTAAGCAGCTATAAACTTTCTTTGAATAAGCACAGCAAGAGATAAAACTGTACATGATGAACTTTTAACACGCATGCCAGTATTTATCAGCCAAACAGGAAACTTTATTGTTAAAAAGAACCAATTTAGATTAATTGGCTTGCAAAGTGAGGCCTCCATGTCAAGCTACCATCAAATACAGGAAGAAAACAAGGCGATTGCTCAGACAATAAGAATGGAGTTATTAGTAACTAACTTTCAACTGGAAATATTTAGCATGCTACTTAAGTTTACTATCGAAATACTCACAGCCCCTGGGCAACACTGCCCTTTCTACAAATACACAGCAGAAGCTAACACTATCTCCCCAGTCTATGGGAAGTACCTGAACACCCAGGTAGTTGATATTAAACACTTAACAGCTTGAATTTTTATTTTATCATGGGGCACATTTGAATCTTCTCCATTCTTGTAGGTCTTTTTACATTTCCCAACAATTCACAACTTTAAAAAACTATACCAAGACATCCAGTGAAATCAGTGGAAATGAACAAGACAGCACCAAAAGGAAAACATTTGTTTCCTTTTTTTTTTTTTAATGGTACTAACTTAAGTACTAACTTATCAGTTTTAATGAGTAGAATTTTTGCATAAACTTATCCCAAGTTCCACCTGGCATCATGCCTCACAAGCAAGTCACACAGTGGATCATTTCTACAGTTTTCTGTGAACTGGTTTTAACAACTATTTTCTATTCAGATAACTCAGTATCTCTATCATAATGCCACCCTACCTAGTACTGCCTTTTTTTTATTTAATTCACCTGAATTGCTGCCACTCCTGCTTGTATCTGAATATTTATTCCATGCTGTTCAAAACAGAACATGCCAAAATTTAAATGTAATCATCAGAAGACAGAAAGCAAGATGGTCTCACCTGTTCAGGAAAGCATTTCCAAAGCGGCCGAGTTTCCGGAATGGCTTCTTAGGATCAACAACTAGGGCATTTCCAGGAACATTTCCTTCTGTTTCTCCATACATTACAGCAATAAAGGAATCGGTGGTAGGCTCTGGCCCAATCCGCATGCCTGGAAAGTCTTGCTCGAGCAGGTATCTGGAGGTGGAGAACACATAAATGTATTTATACACAATAGGGATCCATGGCAAAAGCAAATCCCTACCATTTGTTGAAATTTCCCAAGGATATACCTATTCTCTAAGAATAAGATTACATTTACCTGCATTTCATTATTTCTGTTAACTTGGGAAGGAGGGAGGGAACTGAATTAGTTTTTCACAACATCTAGGTAAAAGGATAAAGTAAACCCCTTTACAAAGACAATGTGGAAAGCATTCCCTCAAATGCAGCACCTCAACCATTTAAGTGGATGCTTCTACCAAAGATTTGAGCGCTGTAGGTTACACTACAACACATGGCTGCTTTTCTGAGTGATTCCAAGCCTACAGCAGTGCTGCTGGTACAAAAAGGGAATGGTTTGAAGCTGCACGTGAGCAGATTCAGTTGGCTGACAGATCTAACCCTTTAATTAACTCAGTATGATCTCACTGACTTTAACTTATCCTATCAGAGGCAAAGAGAACTGTCATGAGGCAGTAGAATTTTGTGTGTTTGGGAGTAAGAAATTTTTTTTTCTTTTGACTTGCACATCAAAAATTCATTGTTACTTAAGACAGATCTTCAGAAATTTAGGCCCAACAATAAAGTACTTCCAAAAAGCATTGAGTCAGGTATTGCTAAAACACCAGAAACCATCTTGCACCTCCCTTTGCATAGTCCACTGAGAGAAGACACGGCACATACTCCGAGGGCTTTGACTTTCCAGACAGCAAGGTCTGAAATGAATTGTGTACTTAAGTATTAAAACTTAATGGAACCAGGGCATTTATTTACATAAAAAGCCTGCCTGCATCCCTTCATGGCCTGCAAGAGCAAAGCAAAAACAGCTCCAAGTCCTTCGAGCAAGCCTCTCTCTAGCACACGTTCGATGAGAACTGCCAGCCTTCACAGAGACACAGACAACACTGCTTAACTTTAAAGCATGATTGTTATTGGCCTCAGTCACAACAGCATCATCTTGGTGCTCAAGACTAAAACAAAGTGTTTTCAATGTCACCCTGCAGTTCTTAAAAAAAAAAACCAACACAATTTTAATAAATTCAGCTATTTACAGAATTAAAACTGGATTTACATGAGGATTCTTCTTCAGGCACAGGCAGTGGTCCTGCCAACAATGACAGTACTAGTTATGTTTCAGTGCATTTATATGAAAACTGCTCTTTTAATAAAAGTTTATTCTGGACTTAACCCAACAGTACTGCGCCTATTCTGCTATAATTTCCGAAATCAATACTGATTTGAGAGGACTTGCTGACTGCTTCTGCTGCAAAAACATTTTACCTAGCATCTATATTTGCTGAACAATCTCTGTCTTCAAATAAAGTAACATTCACAAACTTTATAGATCAGTGCACAGAAGCTGAATTTAAGGAACGAAATATATGTTACAAATTTCAAAGACTGTTTTCCACTAGCCTTAGCAATCTGGCTCCCATTAGTTCAACTTACGATCAGGGAGCATGAAACAGTTATTTACATGAGATTTCCTGTAGCTTTCTGCTTCCAAAAAAATAAATTAAAAAAATGCCAGTGCTAAAATTTGTGAGGAAAGAGGAACATAAGAACAATCATGCCAGAACATGCCAACATCAATCTGTTTTATCTCTAGAATAAGCTGTACCTAATGCACTGTAACAGGGAAATAAAACTGACCGCTCTCCAAAAGCAAATGAAACAACACCCAAACTTCCCTGCCCACACAGGTTTGTAACATGCAGATCCCTCACTGTACAAATAGATCATGAAATTATCTAAATTAAATGAAGACAAAACTTTAATTCCTCACCAGGTGAAACCCTCATGGAAATCCAGGATTTTCAAGTGTTGTGGCAAACAGCAGAACATCTGAAACACCAAAGTGTGTTCCCACCTCTTCACAGAATATCACTGCAGACCAGAGTTCTCTAAAACAGGACACCAAGGCAAACTCACAAGAGCCACCAAGATTTTCCTGATTGGAGTTATCCACAGCTTTGATTTTAAAAGATCAATTATATTTCTGCCTTCTAAAATAAGGTTTTAAAATTGCCATGATAAAATGTTCTATTTCTAACGTTGCTTCTCCTCATTGTCCTCCTTTTAAAAGAGTAAGGGTCTCTAAGAGGCTTGTAAATAAGCTCTTCTCTTGATAAAAACTGCCATTCCCAGGCTTCTGCTGACAGAGGCAGCAACTCGCAAGCTGGCAGACAACATACACAAGGTGCTCCAAGAGCAGCAGTAAAGAATATATTGTTTATATATTGTTGAATATAATGTATATTCAATATACATACATTGAATCAAATACACAGGAGTGAAGTTCCACATCCAGGTCAAGGAGAACTACACGGTGGGATTTGAATGCAGGAGCAGACACCTCCTGAGTAACAGGATAATTGCCATCTGTTGTAAACTCACAAATTATGGCATGATTATGGAAATTCAGTGATGGTCTTTTAGATGCATAAAATAGTAATTTCATGGCCTGCTCATGAATTTGCTGCATGTTTAGAGCTATGGAGTACCTTTCATGATTTCCAGCATCTCTTTTTGCTGCTCTGAAGTCAATTGTGCAAATTCAGATTAGCTGTTTATGGAAATTACTAAACCAGAATAAAGTGCTACTGAAATGCAATGATACTCCCAAGTTAATGTCATAAAGGCAGTTTTAAAAAACAGTCTTTCACAGTGATAAGAATCCAGGAAGGCAAGACCTCCTTCCAAATACCAAGCCCCACCCAACAGTCATAATGCTCTGCCTGGTACAACTATTTAACAGACACAGGAATCACTCTGCAGCACAGGTATTTTCCATTAAGATTGGCTCACAACTGCACATCAAGAATTAGTACAGACTAAAATAAACCTCTTCTTGAGCACTGGCTGTGCTCAAGTGTGATGGGACAATAACTACTATGTGGCTGTGTTTTGGATCTGTGCTGAAAAGCGTTGACAATACAGGGATGTCCTCATTACCGCTGAACAGCACTTACACAGAATCTTGAGCTTTTTTGCTCACCCCACCCATGAACAGAGTTAGGAGGGGACACAGCTGGGACAGCTGATCCCAACTGACCCAAGGGATGTCCTGTACCATTTGGCTTCATGCTTAGCACGTAAAGCTAGGGGAAGAAGGAAGAAGGAGACACTTGGAATGATAGCATTTTCTCTTCCCATGTCACTGTTATGTATGAGAGAGCACTGCTTCCCTGGGAATACCTGAATACCTGCCTGCCCATGGAAAGTAGTGAATGAATTCCTTGCTTTGCCTTGCCTATGATGCTTTTACTGTAGCTACTAAACTGCCTTTATCTCAAGTTTTCTCACTTTCAGCATTCTGATTCTCTCCTCCACCTGGCTGCACAGGGTGTGAGTGGCTGTGTGGTGCTTGGTTGCAAGCTGGAGTTGTGAGGTGGGCTAAGCCACAACACACTGCTATCACACATCTCAGCAAGGAAAACCAATTTTACTTACTCACACAAAAGGCAAGAGCAGTCTTCTGTAAATTGAAAAGCTGCCAATGTTTCTGTACCAAATGCTACATTAGCACAGGAAAATACCTGGATTTTCAGCAACTGCAACTACATGCTCTTCTCAGGAATTTTCAGCAGAGAAGGAGTTCAAAAAGATTCACAGGAAGAATGCTTAAAAATAGCCAATGTCCCAAAGACAGTCTAGATCAAACAACAGACATCCTGTTGATTCTTCTCTCTTTGTTTTTACCTGGGCTATAACCCTTCAGCTTTGCCAATAAACATTCATCTATGTTCCTCTGCAAGATGTATAGCCAGACTATGGAAAACTAATTGACAAAGTTCCAGAGATAGAAAAGATTACTCACAGTGGAAGACACTCATTAGCATCTGAAGTCTAAATGCATTAGCTAGGCCACACTAATGCACAAAAGCAAGTGAGCTGGACAGAGCAGCACTGAACAGGGATACCCTGTGATGCACTGGGAGATAAACTCATGGCTCCTTTTTAGGCTGCCCACCTCCATACTACATACTGCACCAAGTATTCCACTTCTTATTTATTTTTTTTTAACACAGCAAAGCTTGCAGATGTTTGTTTTAGAGTAAGAATTCTGCTCTAAATAACTCAAAGTTTTCATGCAGAGCTAGTGAAGGAGCTATAGCTTTCACCCAAAGAAATTAAGAGGGACCCTCCTCCCACTTCACCCCCGAAGAAACAGATGCAGCTGCACAAGTGATTGCACACTATTTGCAGACTCCAGATATTATACATACAAAAGAGTGCTTTCACAAAAGTCAGTCCTGGCTGAGTTAAATAGCAGGAAGTTTACAATTTTTAACCTCTGAGTAATACCTGCAAGCAAAGTAAAAGCACAGCCTGGCAATCTGAGGAATTTACTTCTGCTTTGTCTCATGTTTTCTTTAAAAAAAAAAATCAGTCTCCTACACTTTTAAAACAGAATGAAAGAAACTGCCTATTTGCATTGACTACCTCCTATCTCTTTTTCATACAGTACAATTCTCCTCTCCTGTCCCTCCTTTCCCCACTCTTTTTCCTAAAACAGGCATGAAAAATTGAGACAATTACAGAAGCTGTAATTGTAATGTCAAGCAGCTCACACATGAGATAATAACTGTCTTTCATCATACTCCTACTTCATTAAACACAGTTGGACAGGCATTAATATTTAGATGTATTTGTTTGAATTGTCAGAATTGTCAAATATGTGAATAAAACTATCACCACACTACACCTTAGACAGAAAAACTGACTGGTTTCACTGCATTGTTCCAAGTGCTAAAGCGGATAAACAGCACTGAGTGAAAAAACAGAAGAGCTGTTAGAAACCTGGAAGTGTTTGTTTGCATATCTTAATCCCCAGGGACATTTAGTCACTGGTACATCGGTGTTTTCCATAAAGACTTAGTGGAAGGAACTGGGTGGATATGGATGTGTCAGAGGTATGAAAATGTGAAGTTCTCACGATAACGTCTCAATCAAAGTAAATCCCAAATGAATATTTGACAGCTAAACAGAATTGTTATTTTCACACATAAACCCAATAGTAAACACTTAGGTAGACCTGATACGCCCTCCTGACTAGGAAGTCAAGAAATGTGAACAGAAAGCAGTCTTAATTATCTTAAGCAGTTTTTAATTATTTATTTAAGATTTTAAATTATGTTTTCTTATTAAAAGGTTTGGAGGAATACATCCCCTATAGCGCTATTTCATTCTAAGGAAACCTACAATAAATATAGGAGTATAACAATCTTGAGAGGGTATAACATTTTTCCATGTGAAATTCAGCCTACCAGATGGGAAATTTATTTCTGACTGACCTGGACACTATAACATTTTCCCGTGTATTCTTCTAAGTCTTGCACACAGCATACAAGAACTCCTCTTTTTTTTTTTTCCCTTCTTTTCTCCCCTAAATTGGATTTTGAGTAACAGTCGCTGTGACACTATTGCCTAAGTTGCTGCCCATATTCAATGGAGCACTTTTAATGCTGATTCAGCCGATTATTATCTATGCTATAGATAACACTGAGGTAATGAATATTGATCACAGTGAGATCCTTCAGAAGCAATAAAAGTTATTCTGCTACAGATTTGGACTCTACAGTCAATGCCTGTCTTTTCCAATACCTTGCACAAGATTAAACTGCTCTGCAAGTTACCTAAAATCAGCACAGCAAAAAGGGGTAAGAGGGTAAAAATAAGGGCACATCATAGTAGAAGCCACCTCTTGTATCAAGTCAGGTATTTTAATAAAACACATAAGAAATCATCTTTGAAAACTTCATCTCTGTCAAAATTGTCTGAGCATCTTCATCTGGCACTGACAAATGCAAAAAAAAAAAAAAAGCTGGCAAGAGCTGTAATAAAGTATAGGTCTTTTCTCATTCAGACTGTGTGTTACAATCAGACAATGCTTTTGCTCAGTTTTGTTACAGTGATAACAAGTTACTCACAGAGCAACAGTAGTAAAAGTACACCTAAGGCACTGCAAGGAATATTAATGTTTCTAAGCACAATACTGACTTGCACTTCAGTCAAATATGGGCAGCTAGAAAGGACAGAAAAGACGAATGCCCATAAATCAAGAACCTGTGTTCTCAACTAAGGCAAACTGTCTCAGGAGGGGAGAGACAGAGTTTTCTATGAATTGCAAATAACAGAACAACTGTTCTGCTGACAGGCAGGTATACACATATTTGTGACCATTCTGCAGAGGTAAAAAATTTTTTTGTGACCATTCTGCAGAGGTAAAAAAACTTATCAAGTAAAAACACTTATCTGGAAATATATACAGACTAACAAGGCAACTATAATTTTAAAGAAGAAAATGAATGAGTATACCTAGAGAAATGTTGGAAAAATTGAAACCAACAACCCCTCCTTCCCACACCACCTTGTGACTGTCTGCAGAGATCTTGAAATTAAGTTTATTTTCTTTGAATTACAGCCTTATTTTTATTTTAAAAATATTCCTCTGAGAAACACCTCTTTTTATGTGTTTGGGGAATTCAGCAATAATCGGTTGATTATTAAGAAACCATGTTCAATTTCAAGCTTTCAATTAGCTAGCTGTGAAACCTGAAAAGACACATGATTAGTTCTGTAAACATCTGAAAAGCTCTCAGGTGATTAAAGGTAAACATCGATCTTCAGTGGAGAGGGGAGGTAGGTATTTTGCACTGCAAGAGGAAAAGAGTGTTCTGGAAAGGCTGCCTGTAATCTTTGGAACTGAAAGATAAGCATTTGTAAATTTTACAGAAGGAGTATAATGAACTTCAGATATAAGCAGGTCAAAATGTGAACCAAGCGACCCCTCAGTGTCTTTTGCAGAGCTGTGCAAAACCTCAGACTGCTTTTTAAGGGGCATGTGATAGAGAAACTCAAACATATGCAAAATATTTATAGATTCATAGTATTGTGCTTCAGCTTCCTTAAAATTAGTTACTAAGAAACTTAGAAATAAGGAATACAGGAAAGACAGAAAATACTACAACAGGAACAACACTGCTAAGCTGCCTTAGTAGTGACACTGCTTCTTCAACGCAATTGATCAAAAAAAAGGCACATGGAAGGGAAGATTTCCAGATACCACGTGTTTTTTGCCCAAAACTCTTGCCACGTTACTCTTCCATGATCACATCCGATCCGTGCATTAAGCTACTTCTGGGAAAGAAAGGGGAGGAGATAAGGTTAAGTGATCCCTCACGGCCAGCGCAGTCATACCGTTTCAGCATGAAGCCCCTGGTTTTCCCCTGAAAGAACTTAGAGAATAAAAGAACTAAGAGGAAGTAGACAGCGGGGTTACACTTTCTCTGCAGAACATGAAACAGAGATAATATTCTTGAACAGGAAGCAAGCGGCGAGCTACAGAGCCTGTAACAGGCTCGGGAGCGGCACCATCCTCGGCAGGAGAGCGGGCAGGCTCCAGCCCTGTCACCGGCAGGGCGCTGCCCGGCCTCGGCCGCAGCCCGGCAGGGATTTCCCGCAGGCAGCACCGCCCCGCCGGGAGGGCAGCGGGGATCACCGAGCTCCCCGGGCGGGGCCCGCACACCGCGGGTCACCTACCGGATGAAGGTGGTCTTGCCGGTGCTATACTGCCCCACCAGCAGCACCATGGGCTTGTTCTCGAAGTCGGCCTCCTCCAGGGCGGGCGAGTGGAACTCATGGAAGCGGTAGTGCTCCTCCAGCGGCAGCAGCTTGCGGAGGTACAGGTCCCGCAGCCCGCCCGTCACCGTCTGCACCACGTCGGTGCCGCCGCCGCGCTCCCGCCCGCCGCCCTGCTTCCCCAGCCAGCTGAACATCCCGCCGCCGTCCCACTGCCACTGCCACTATCACAGCCACTGCCACAGCCACTGCCACAGCCACTGCCACAGCCGCGGGCCCGCCCCGGCCCGGCCCCACGAGAGGCGGTGCCAGCAGCGCTCCTCAGCCGGGCGGGGCCCGTCTCCCTGCAGCACACGCCCTTGGAGCCGGCTGCCTTTCGGGTTTTTCTGGAGGGGAAGTCCGTCTGGGTTTTTGTTTTTTTGGGGTTTTTTTTTTTTCCAAATCCGAGGATTTTCTTTTTATTATTATAATTTTTATATATTTTTTTTTGGCCACAAGTCCGCCTCTGGAGGTTAATTGTGCCTGCTGCTCCTCCGTGCTAAGATCTCAGCCCCTTGCGATGAAATCCGGAAACATTTTGACAGCTCCGATCTGAACGCAGAATCGCCCAAATGCTTTTCGTGTTTTTCGGATGACGATTGCCGTCTTTGGGTGCACAAGAGATGTATGACTAAGCGCCTTGCTGTTTAGCTACGACATCAGGCAACTGTTTTAAACACAGTGAAAAATCTTCGTATACCATGGAAATCTTTCCGTGAGACGCGTGTAGAAGATACGGCCTTTAGTTCTAACCTTAGGTCCTGCATTGTGTTAAGCCTCGTAGGAGGATCACCTTGGCCATTGATTCACAGGAGATTTTAGTGGAGTGTAACTCCAGATTCACTACAAACTTGGGGAAATCAATAAAACAAATATTTTTTGTCCTCTGACATTAAAGTTTGTGCTCACTAACTAAAAAAAAATACAACCTGGGATCTCAGTTAAAAGAACAGGAGTAAAATTTTTTGCTGAAACTGTGTTTAAACACTATATTACAAATGGTTTTGTGTGACACACGGCTCCTTCGCAGCATCCATATAATTTAAACTCCCTTTTCCTGGTCCAGTACATCTACTGTTTCACGTTTTTATCTGTGTACCTCATTTCCACATTGAATACTGCATTTTCTCGATATGCTCCAAGTTTTTTCTAAATACATCAGCAGGTTTAGATGTGCTCTTTTCATCTCCTTCCTCTCCATGCTGTTCCTCAAAGAACAGATGTTAGGCTTTAGCAATGCTCAGTTCTGGGCATTTAACCACTTTGCCTTTTCTTGGTTCCTTGCTTTGCATTTTATTTAGGGCTGTGCGTATATTTTGCAACCCTTTTGTTGCAATTTCCATGCTGAGTCCAAAGATTTTATACCATTTCACATAGGGTCTTGCAGACTGGTTTCCTCGTTTTTTAAAATCTCCTTTTCATAGTTTGGTTTTGTATTCCTTTAATTGTCATTACTTTTCGCTATGGGTTAATTCATATGTAATTAAGTTATCCTTGTAGTTACACCTTCCCTATTTAAGTTCAGTAATTTATTTTAAATTAGTCTTGTATCACCACATCTTTAGAGGTCTGACTGCTCCTAATTATTAATTATCTGTGAGCTGTGGAAAACCTAAATACTGCAGTGTGGAGTGAGGTTCCTTTCCCCCTTGTCTGTGGTGCTAAGTCCAGTATTTAGTGACTGGACAACCTTACATAGCTCACATACCTCACAGGGCAGGTACAATACTGCCTCAGACTCTCCTCCTACTCTGGAATTCATGATTCAGTGCAGGACTGAGGGAGATGCAGAGCCATTGCATTTTTCCAGTCCCTAAAAATTTTCTAGTGAATGCCTCAAAATTCAGTTTTCTGAATGCTTAACATTTTATCAACAAGAAAACTTAATTACATGTGTGCAGAACTACCTCACTTTGTTTAAACCTGCTGTTTGCTAGTTTTGTCTGATCCTCTCTAGGTCTTGTGATAGAAGAGAGGTGCACCGACTTCACACATCTCTCTCTTCTCTGCCTTTCACTCCTTCTGTTCTTTTTTAGGTTACAGATTCCTCAGCTATTTGTACCTTGTGTGGAAGCAGTTCCACCTCCTTGATCAGGCCTGACATTTTACTCTGTATTCTTGTTGAACATAAAAAACTGAGATTCCATGCAAGATTTTTGAAATGGAGTAAAGTGCTCATTGTTCTCCACAACCCTTTCGTGTCTGCTGGAAAGCAGCAGGAAGGGCAGGGAAGTGTTTGCACTCACACACCTCGTTCTGCTTCTCTTCAGACTTCCTGCCTGGATGCTTCCTGCTGTTGGTGAAATAATTTTTTCCCTTCAGACAATAAGCTCCAACTGTATATGGGAACCTGGGAGTGTTTCCAAATTCCCAGGTCTGGCTGTGCCCTCTGGCTACATCCCATCCCGTACATTCATCAGCATGAGTGCTGTCTTTGCTCTCTCGTTTCCATGGCAGGTAAACTCTGGCATACAGTCCAGGAGCTCTCTGGGCTCCTGTCTCCTGCAGGGAAGTGTTCACTGACCTACATGGCAAACAGAAGCGTTACATCTCTGTGCACCACCTAGGAGGAGACCCTCAAACTTGAGAGCAAAGGAATTTGTAAGACTTCCATTTTTGGCCCACAATAGCAGGATTTCTTGACAAAGAATACTACAGCAGAACTGAGGAGTGGGGAAGCCTGTAGGAAACATGGGCTTGTGGATATAAGATGTCTAATAAATAAAACAATAGCATTGAATTAAAAATATTAGAAGAATAAATGTAGACTTTTACATATCAAAATTTTACATGTCCAAAGCCTAGACCGCTGACTGGAAAGGAGACATGTTAATGTCACAAAGAAAGCATCAACAAGGTTAAAGTTGATGTTCTGTTAACTTCAGTTGCCATACTCTACAGCAAGTTAAAAAAATCACATTTGCATGAGTGATATTAGGTATACAGTTTTAGTTTTGCTTTGTGTTTCTTGTGTCTTTTCAATGTAATAGCCTCTAACACTTTAATATTATCAATATTAAAGAATGTTTCATATTATCAATAGCATTTAAATCCAGCTTGCTAAAATAAGTGAGTTGCTTCTTGTAGAGATGGGTCTTAGTTGTAATCCTAAACTCAAGGGGTCCCAGGATCCTGCACTAGCTTACATCTAGGTCTGGAGCAGGTATACTTTCTTCTTCAATAATTGTTCAGCAGCTATGAAACGTCTGCATGTTGCCTTTGTCTTGCTAGTAGAGGAAGAAGCACCTAAAATAAGTGGCTGAAACACATATTTGGTATGAAAACTATTTATTTGCTGTAACTCCTACTCAAAAGAGGTGGTTTAGGATATAAATTTAATATTTATTTACATTCACATAAAGATTTCTTAGCTCACAAATGGCTTCCATGATTTAGTTTTAGAGGTGATGGATTTTGTTCTCTGCTGCATTTCTGTTTCATTGCATTTCAGACGACTGGCAATCCTCTGTTTCTATAGCACAGGTAGAACACAAACAGGCAGTGTAAACTTCCTCACACCTCCTTGTCCACGCAGTTTGGCCCTGGCCTGGAAGGTCACCTTGGCAAGCACAGTGGAGCACAGCCTCACCTAGCCATGCTCCTGAGGTTGTCAACGAGGGAAGCACATGAGTTCATTAAGGAAGAGCTGGTTTTTTGAGTTTATTCCCTCTGCTTGACAGACAGGCTTAGCATTTTTGATGACAAATGAAGTGCTATTCTTAGCATTCTTTGGCTTTTCTTCACTTCCTAATGAAATTCCTTGTCTTCTTCATCAACAGGACTCATAGATACTTTATTTCATATTCCCCTGGTGCTGGGCAGCCAGCCAAGTGCTGGGTTCCCTCTCTGCCAGGCACACGCATGCCAGAGCCATCGGGTGCTTTTTGCAGTGCTTGCTCTTTCTTATGCTGCTTTTTCCGCTCCACAGCTGTATGCAAGGCCCGAAGAATCAAATCTTTGTTGTTCTGGACGTTGTAGTAACTGAGATTCACCAGTTTGTCAAAATTTTCCTCTGAATAGCTCAGATTGTTTATGTAATATGGGCCACAGGCATTGGCAACATCAACCTCACCCTCTGCCATCTCTGAGGGACTACGCTTCACACCTAGCAGACAAACAATGACTTGGTTAATTTGACAGAAACAATTAGGGTCTGGGTGTTTCTCAGGCAAGCAAAAATAGTGGATCACAACCCTAAACTAAATCAGGTTTTTGCTTGACTCTGCATAGATGGGACACAGCATATGAGCAGGCTGAGCTTCTATCTATCTGCTAGTACACAGAATAAATAGGTTATTGGAAAGGAAGAGGTACATTAATTTTGTTGGATTCTGAAGATTACTGGATTCCAGTATGTGCCTTTGGCTGCTAAAGGACAGCTGAAGATCCCACCCGTGGGGCAGAGACCTGAGGGTGTGGAGATCCACTGCTGTGTGCTATCCTGCAACCCCACATCACGGTTTAACCCCAGCCAGCAGCTCAGCAGCACAGCTGCTTGCTCAGTGCACCCTGACCACTGGGGTGGGGAGAGAATCAGAAGAGCACAGTGAGAAAATGTGGGTGGAGAGAAAAACAGTTTAATGGGACAGAAAAGGAAGAACAATGTAATTCTCATTCCAGATCCCAAACAAGTTGGAAGAAAATTAACTCTTTCCCAGATTAAACCAGGTTCACATATGTTTTTATGCTTCCTCACCATTTCCACAGACCCTTTGATTTTCTGAAAGCTGGCATGAGGGAAAGAGAGCTTTAGCAATCCAGAAATATAAGTTAATATTGTCAGAAAGGGTATCAGAAACATGAGAATTTTTCTGTCAGCCTCCAGTGAGACCATCACATTGCCAAGAGGGTGTTACTGTGGCAAACAAGCACCCTCCACAGTCACAGGAACCTGCACCACAAGCCCCATGGCAAGAGGGTAGGCAGTGGGAAAAGTCAGCATCTCAGTGACAAGACCTCATGCATTTGGGGAATCTTCTGTACCAACATGGATCTAACAACATTGATCAAAGGGTTCTGATTTTCCTTGAAGGGTCTCTCAGAGTCCAACAGATGTCTCAGCTTTGCAGACAGTGAACTGGTTACACAGAGTTACAGGGAACTGGTACCACTCAACTGAAGCAGTCCAAGTCTCACACAGAGAATTCCTTTTCTACTTGATTATGGAATAGCCT